ACACTTGGGCATGCAGTTTTACATGAAGTAACATAGTTCACACACACATGCAGTCACTGTGGTTAACTGGATTTACTGATGTGCACTCGCTATGAGAACGTTCCGATTAACTTCAAAACAAAACTAAAAAAGTCAGTGTAAATTCAGAGTTAAATTATAAGTTTATTGTTTAAAAAATCCATGCAGTCAATCATTTTCCAAAGAAGTGTTTTTGCCTGATACTGTTTATTGTATTTAATGTTTCCTTCCTTGCAATTCAAATTATGACAAGTTAAATTAACTGTGTAAATACAACTCATTTAGTGTGGAAGCTTTGCGGCCTTTAAAACTTTAATAAAAGTAATTAGAGAGTAATTCTTTTCAAGTTCACACCCATGAAAAGAAAAAAAAAATTGCCACCTATGTGCACATTGTGGCTAAAACAAATACATACATGAGATTTCTCAGAGCCCAACCCTCACACCCACACACACCCACACACACACACACACACACACACACACACACACGCACACACACTTACATGTAATACATGCATGCATGCACACACATGCACAAACAAGATAATAAAAACATGTTTTTTTCAGCAGGTGCAGTTATTTTGTTCTTGTGTTAGTTTGAACAATACCACTATCCTTAGAACACTGAAAAGAAGATGCAGAATTTTACTCCTTATCACTACTTTTAAATATCAGAATCCAAATAATCATTTATTCACTTTCAGGCTTAAGATGCAGTTTTTATTTATTATACTTGTATAAGATGGGAATTCTGATATTTAGATATCTGCATTATGCTCTTTTGAGTTTTCCACTGACCAGTAAATAATGATTAAAATCATTGTGTGTGTGTGTGTTTCAGGGTCCTGTTGTGTGACTTGGAGCTGTTTATTCTCAACGACAGCAGCTGTATTTTGGTGATGATCTGACGTGTGGGGTTTGAACTTTGCCTGAGTTGTCAATCATGAAAACAGTGGGTGGGGTCTGAGTCACTGGTGACATGATTTTGACAGGTATGATTCAGTAGTGAGGAGTAGGCATGCATGTGCAACCAAACACCCAAACACAGTGAATTCACTCTAGGCCAAAATAATGGAAATAAATCATGTTAAATGTTGTCCTGCAGACATTCTGCTTCTTATCAGGTCTATTCTGCATAAATTAAATCTTATATAACATAACATTTCATATACATTTCCACCAACCCTGACCTTACTCTCTCTCACTGCATCCACCCTCCTTTCTGTTCAGGTATGCTACCCACTCTCTCTCGTGTAAATCCAGCTCATCCAACACAGGTTCATCCCACAGATGCTGTCACTCCTTCATCCCGGGTGTGAGAAATATGGGGGCCTAAGGTGCTACTCTGTAATCAGGTTGGACTGTTGTGCCTCGTCTTGCCAGCGTACAGTGTGTTGTGCCGCCACAGCATCACAAGGCTGCCATGTGACCCTGTAGCCACGGGACCTCAAATGTCTCTTCATTTATCAGACATGTTTGCGGTGTAGTGTAGCAGCTAGAGAAACACCAACCAAGTAGAAGCATGGGCGCGCGCACACACACACACACACACACACACACACACACACACAGAGCATCGAAGCCTGAACGCTCTGTGTGACATGGATGATGTTCACAACGTGGTTACACAAATGAATGCCACACAACATCAAAAATTGTGAAAAGACAGATGTGACATTGGTTCTATTTTCACTTGCATCTATTGGCAGTGAAGACAAATTATGAAATACAGTTTTCATCCAATGCGTGTGAACAGCAGATTCCATGGCTGAAGCTTTTTCTGTCTGCCTTCCCCACATGCTCTTAACAGCACTCATAACACCTACAATTATATATTTATTATATTAAAAAAATGAAAACATTATTGGAGCAAATTACTTACATCTTGCGTCAGTCTGTGAAAAGCTGAGCATCTTGACACTGGCTTTTAGTGAAGGCTGCAGCTTCCCAGGAGTGTGGCATGCCACAACCACAGAGCTGGTGCTCCTTCTAGGGAATGGATGCGGAACAACTTTTGGGTTCAACATTGAAATTACACATGATGTAAGTGATAAACAATAGAGCAGGTGAAACATCTGTCTCAAAAAAAAAAAAAAAAATCCATGAAGCCCTCCGATAAAGCTTTGGAAAATTGATCTAGAGTTAATTTGATTACAATGTGCAACACATGACTACCAGGGTTAAGGGGAATGGGCAGTGTGTAAATCTGGACAACCATGCATGAGCTTTAATTTAAAGTAAACAAAATTTACAATGAATAATTCCCAAACTATAAAACAGTTTATTAAGGAGGGTACCTTGCTTAAGCTTTTCATCCAAAGTCTCAAAGTGCCCCCTAGTGGAGCTTGTCTGTGCCTGTTCTCATCAAGGTCTGCAAAACATCTGACCCTATAATAAGGTCTCGGTAGTTCACTGTGTTAATTAATAGGGCATTCTCAACACGAGATCACAGGATATCACTCAGTTTCTGGTGCAGATGGAGTACATTTGCTGTTTTCTGTACTATAGCAAACTGCTAAATGTCTGTAAGGGTAAACTGACTTTACAAAACCAAAATATTGCAAACACATAAAACACAAGCAGCTAAAATGATATTAATACTAAGAAATACACTCATTCAAACCACAGTAAACTTTGAAATATACATTAAGATTCATAATAAGCTTTAAATTTCTTAAAAAAGCAGGGGAAAATATTGTAGTAAAATTACAGTTTCAAAAGACTGAGCCTTGTAGGTAAATCCCAGCTGCTCAGAGATACAAGTGTTGACAAGTGGGCTTAAATCTGTGTGATCTGGTCCAACTACATTTTCCTGACTCGCTCTGCCACCCCACTGCAGTCCCAGATGGACAATGAATACCTTTACAGAACTGAAATAAACAAATTTCAATTAATTCATGCTTTCTGGTTCTCCATTTGTATCGCTCTTATTCAAGCCACATGGAGCTCATCTCCATAACTCCTTCCCAACCTGGCACCTTGTCCCACTGGCTGGACATCAAGGAAAGCAATTACTGAAGAGGCGGAACAACAATACCCAGAAAACATCTGCTTGTGCCGGCTGGGGCCGGTGGCATGCCTGACTGTGTGTTCCTGCTGGCTTCCATAAAGGACAAATGTCTGCCTGTATATGCTGAGGGGCCCAAGTGTACAGGGACCACTTTCCTGCTCCTTGCGGTGCCTTACCCTCCGCCTGTTTGCCTGCCGATCCACCTGCCTCTCCAACTGCCTCTCCGACTGTCTCTTTGACTGTCTTTCTGCCTTTTCTTGCAATGGCAACTCTGTCAGAACAGACGAGGGCCCGCCTGTTGGAGCGGTTGCTCATTTGGGTAGATTTGCCTTCTGCTTGGATGTGACGGTGCACCAGCATGGCTCCTAAGTTCAGGCAGACAGGAAGTCCACAAAGATGGCACAGTGGGCACGACACCCATATGATGGCTCCCTATTGTTATAGCTCAGCTCAGCAGATGGGAAGGCCACATTTTTAGGGTAAACACTGCACACAGAGCTTGACAATGATCAAAAAGCACAGAAAGACTTTAAATAAATGCACACTGCAGAATAAATCATAAGGTGACACAAGCTGCTGTATGGACTATATGGGAGACTTATCTTCTCTTCCACCTGACACACCCACCCAAAGTTTTTACACACTGACAAAGAGAGGACAACAGACCAGATTCATTCCCTGAATCTGACTCTGTTAGTAGTATTACATATTTTAAAATTCAAGCAGAGATACTTCATATAATACATGTCTTGTGTGACTCAATGTTTACTGAGTTTCCATTGCCACCCTGTGGCCATCATTGAGCCTTACTGAATATAACCTCATAGTAATTCTCAGCAACCTGGTGCCCAGCTTGGTGGATGGGATAATCTGAGGTCTCAGGATACATTTGAGGGGTGCCAAGACAGTAAAAGAAAAAAGCCAATTACACCAATTCTCTTTGTTTCCTCTGACTGCTGCTGTTTGGTTAGGAAAATTAACTTTTGTACATTATGTGCACAGATAGCCTGTTTTTGTGGAAAATCCTACAGAAACACACTATGTTGTCAAATAAATAAGTGTTTAATAGATAAATAACACAAAAATGCACATGCCACTTGCTTTTTTAAATATGTAACAAGTGGCCTACCATTAAAACTGCATTTAGGTCTAAAGCAGGCCTATTGGGCTACAGGTTAAATTTAGCATTCCCAGTGTGTCAGTCTGTTAAGTCCCTGTTTGCCACTAAAACATTATTTCTGTCATGTAAGCTCTGCAAACCTGTAGCCATGATTCCCTGGCTGTTCCTGATCTCTAAAATTAAGCAGGATCAAGTCTGATTAGTACATTAGGTACTATTTGGGAATACCAAGTGCTGTGGCTTCACCCAGCTACTGGGGTTGCACAGGCTGTGCACTCACTGTGCCAGACCCAAGCCTGGATAAAGGCTGTGTTAGGTCTGGTCTGTCATAGGTGACATAGGCTGTCACCTAGGGAGCCAAATGCCTGAAGGGGTGCCACATAAGTGTTTATTTTATTTATTGATTGATTTTAAGAAATAAGCCCTGTGACGGACTAGCGACCTGTCCAGGGTGTACCCGGCCTCTCGCCTGCAGCTGGCTGGGATTGGCTCCGGCCCCCTGTGACCCCGTTTGGAACTAAGCGGTTTAGAAAATGGATGGATGGATTTTAAGATATAGTACTGTCATGCTTCCAGTCTGTTGAGGTGAAAAGTCCCACTAATATACTGGTTACAGAAAACAGGCTATTTAGGCTATAATAATAAATGCTACACCCCATGTAGCCTATATTTTAGTTATACCAAGGGTGTAGGTATATAGGCTCCACCACGGGATTGCTTACAGTTGGTAGGGACATGTCCCTACCAAATATTGTGGAACGACTTAAATGTGTGAAACTACACCCTTGAGTTATACACACTTACTATTACTTCATTTTTCTTTCTTAATGTTTGGGGGGTGCCTAGGTCAACGAATCCACAGCCGACCCTGCTATACTGTAAACTTTTCTAACAACACATTAAAATAGTTTTCCTTAAAAAGCAGCAGCAGACAGTCCCGACTTGTGTGTGGGACACAGGATGTTTCGGACAGCACCTGAAGGCACCATGTTTGACACATGCTCGATGTAAACGTGAGGTGGGAGGGAGGCGGAGGGTTTGTTTGGTGACAGCAGCAGCGGCTTGTCACCGTGTACTGCCTCCTTGCCAGTTTTTGTCGGAATAACTTCTCATACAACTAAATGAACCGGTTGCCTGGTTGTTTGCCTCAGACTGGTGTGGTTTTTTGCGTCAGAGCAGCAACAGAGATGTAAAGCAAGTTGCACTACCGCATCTTCCTCTTGTTATGCTTCTGACATTACTAGGAGCCAAGTGACAAAGGTATTTCGGCATTGTTTTGCGACTAATGTTAGTGTGCTGCCGTCATACGTTACTGAGGCTGCCTTAATAACACACTAGAAGCGGCGACATCCCCTCGTTATCATGTCTATAAGTCGCTCGAAGACCGGACGCCGTCACATAATGTATTGCTGAAGTTGTTTTATCCAAATTCAGCGAGATGTTCATTGGTAGCGGCAGCTTCAATTTGCATATAAGCGTGAATTGAAGGCGAAGCAGGCGGATGTACAGGCAACTCAGGAAGGAGCCAACTTCGGGTGTTCTTTTCAGCTGACATATTACTAAAAGCGAGTGCTGTTTAGAGCCTCCTATAATATGTAACTCCTTCTAGAAGAGATGCACAGTACAAGGGCTGATGGTAACTACAATATTACGTCATAACTTTGAGTTGGTCACGTGTACTCTCAATTAGTGGCTAATTTGTAGCCATTCCTGTAATGAGCACTCGAGGAAAGTGCGCCATGTTTACGTCACGACCGGGTTAATTGTCAGGTGCGTTCACCAGTGATGTCGGATTGTGTACTTTAGCCTTCAAGTGTTTCAGGGTTCTCCATGTAAGCATTTCTTTGCAAAATCACCCAGCTGCTGATTTTAGATGGATAGTTTTTGCTTTGTCCATCAGATGAAGTGACTTCTTAACTTTGTTTGTTTCGACTTTATTGTCTGGGGCCACGGCACCGCTGTTATAATTCAGTTGAGCAGATAGGACGCAGTTTATTTTAAAACGATTCATTTTGTGCAGCCAGGCTTTTTGAGTTAGGAAGGTTTCTGCTCTTATTGAGTGAACTGACCTCGACACAGTATATGTACAGTAAATAGCGACCACACATTCGTTTCACTACAAGTCATTTCATTTGTCATAGTAGCAGTAGTCCTTTATCAAAACATTTGTCTCAGTTTCTTGTTTCAAGGATAGATGACTTATTATGCAGAAGTTCTTAATCTTATCTAGTTAATTTTATAAACATATTTTTGATAATAATGATGATCCAACATATCTTCATTAAGCCTGCGAGCTGTCATGCATTTATATTTTTGTATAAATGCAAAAAGGGCTCATTTATACAGTATATTTATGCTACCAGTGATCTATATTACAAAGGTAATTTATTACAGCAAGCTTCAGCTTTAGGAAGTGTCCTAAAAAGTAATAAAGAACAAATAAGCAAGTTAACTTCTCATGCTGTATAAGCTAAACAGATAGAATGTTGATTTCTCTTAATGATTGTTTATCTTTATTTCCACAGTTTTTGGAGTTTTATATTGATCTAATTGTATCAACATGCATTTATTTATAGATTTTTTAAAATAATGCTATACATCTATGGGAGATATTTATTGATAACAATTGAGAGAAATAGCCTTGATGTGTTTATATCATCTAGGCAACATTTTCTTATCATTTTCTCCACACCAAACAAACCCCCCTTGAGCAAAGCACTAAAGGGAGTCTGTAAACCTGTGACTTGGTGTGTTTAGTCAGTGCGTTCACCCCTTTTTCCTGCATCTTCCTCCTCCATCCCCACCTGTTCTAGGCACTGCAGAGGAAGATGGAGGTCCACAGTGGCGTTCAGAAGCCGGAGCCCCATCCTCTGGGATCTCCTCCGTCAGGAGCCAATCAGCAAAATGAACTGGATGATGGGCAGATGGATGCCGGTGGCAGTCCCTCCTCTGAAAACCACAGTGAAGATGTGCAGCCACCAAGCAAGCGAGATGACAAAAAAGTAAGTTGCAGACTCCCACTGCTGCATATGTGCAGCTGCTGTGCAGTGTGGGTTTGTCTTTACATGAGTGATGAGCTATTCTGGGTGATATGACCTATACTTTCACATAGAGAGACTCTTACTAAATCACAGTGTTATCTCTTGGAGTGCTGAAAAGACAGCTGCAATGTAGTTAGTATGTTCTGTGGTATTAAGTGATGCCATGCATGTTGCTCATACTTGTCATAAGCTCTGTTACTTTCAGAGCTGTGTGAAAGGGCCTGTGTGCTCGTCAGTGTTGTTGCAAGTAAAAGTAAAAGTGTAGGTGCTTTTGGTTGTGGGCTTCAGCAGTTTCAAAGGAAGTAGGTATTGTGTTATGTTGCCTTGAGAACCGTTCAGCACATGCTACAAACCACAGCTATGATATGTACTGTACATTTAGAATTGCATACTATTACATACAGGTTTAAACAGCTTGATGCTGATTCTCATACATATCAACCCATTACCATCTTGGAGCCCTTTGCATGCCCAAGTATGACTGTAAGATCCCTGCTGACTCTCTTCCACCTCAAGCACGTCAATCATGCTTCTCTGGCAGGAGCAAGAACCTCTTTCTGTCAATCAGATGGAGAGGCTCTATATGTCCTGCAGAAGAGATCGAGATAGAGGCAGAATAAACACAACAGATATATATGAAAATATTCACTGGACTGACAGGTTACTGGGAGAGCTGAATAGGATGCTTGTCATTGCTTGCTGTATCAGTTTTAAATTCCTTGACCAGAGTTTGAGCAACTGGTAACTGAAGACCCTAAAGAGTTATGTCAAAGTGCTTTAGAGACATTTGCAAATATATAAAACGTCAAAAGCAATTGAAAATGTGAAATGATATAACTGCTTTAGGTTTAGCATAAGCTTGTTCAGGGCACAAGGGCTCCCTTGGTTATATATATCTATTGCATATGTGTATTTTTATTTTTTTCAAAATTTCACTGTTTGGAGCAGCATTTTTATATGTTTATCATATTTCAGAGATCACCTAAAAACATGTTTGTGTTTTTATTATTAAGGTTTTTGGTCCAAAGTGTGCACACACACATTTTCTTCATCCAAAACTATATAGCCCTGTGTGAACAAGTGTTTGCCCCCTAAACCTAATAACTGGTTGGGCCACCCTTAGCAGCAACAACTGCAATCAAGCGTTTTCGATAACTTGCCATGAGTCTTTTACAGCGCTGTGGAGGAATTTTGGCCCACTCATCTTTGCAGAATTGTTGTAAGTCAGCCACATTGGAGGGTTTTCGGGCATGAACTGCCTTTTTAAGGTCATGCCACAGCATCTCAATTGGATTCAGGTCAGGACTTTGACTAGGCCACTCCAAAGTCTTCATTTTGTTTTTCTTCAGCCATTCAGAAGTGGACTTGCTGGTGTGCTTTGGATCATTGTCCTGCTGCAGAACCCAAGTTCGCTTCAGCTTGAGGTCACAAACGGATGGCCGGACATTCTCCTTCAGGATATTTTGGTACACAGCAGAATTCATGGTTCCATTTATCACAGCAAGTCTTCCAGGGCCTGAAGCAGCAAAACAGCCCCAGACCATCCCACTACCACCACCATATTTTACTGTTGGTATGATGTTCTTTTTCTGAAATGCGGTGTTACTTTTACGCCACACATAATGGGACACACACCTTCCAAAAAGTTCAACTTTTGTCTCGTCTGTCCACAGAGTATTATCCCAAAAGTCTTGGGGATCATCAAGATGTTTTCTGGCAAAACTGAGACGAGCCTTTATGTTCTTTTTGCTCAGCAGTGGTTTTCGTCTTGGAACTCTGCCATGCAAACCATTTTTGCCCAGTCTCTTTCTTATGGTGGAGTCATGAACACTCAGCTTAACTGAGGCAAGTGAGGCCTGCAGTTCTTTGGATGTTGTTGTGGGGTCTTTTGTGACCTCTTGGATGAGTTGTCGCTGCGCTCTTGGGGTAATTTTGGTCGGCTGGCCACTCCTGGGAAGGTTCTCCACTGTTCCATGTTTTCGCCATTTGTGGATAATGGCTCTCACTGTGGTTCGCTGCAGTCCCCAAGCTTTAGAAATGGCTTTATAACCTTTTCCGGACTGATAGAGCTCCATTATTCTCTTTCTCATTTGTTTTTGAATTTCTTTGGATCTCGGCATGATGTCTAGCTTTTGAGGATCTTTTGGTCTACTTCACTTTGTCAGGCAGGTCCTATTTAAGTGATTTCTTGATTGCGAACAGGTGTGGCAAGAGAAATTGAACTCAGGTGCGATAAACCAGTGTTTTGACAGGGGGGCAAACACTTGTTCACACAGGGCTCTATAGTTTTGGATTTTGTTTTCCCTTAATAATAAAAACCTTCATTTAAAAACTGCATGATGTGTTTACTTGTGTTATCTTTGACTAATATATAAATTTGTTTGACGATCTGAAACATTACAGTGTGACAAACATGCAAAAAGATAAGAAATCAGTAAGGGGGCAAACACTTTTTCACACCACTGTAGATGCCATCATAGTAAAATTTAAATTAAAATGAAATCCTGTATCACAGACATGACCTCTTCTTTGTAATTGGCTCAATGACACACAGTAAGCAGAACCACTGCACTCACACACTGATGCAGCTCTTAGTATTCATGCAACTAGTTCCGACAGTTGGCTTTCAAACTCCGAGCTACACTTCTTAAAGATGAAATTGACTGGTAGTGTCTGTGCATCCAAAGCTTATGGTACATAATGTATAGTAAAAGCTGTAAGGGTGATTGTTACCAATGTAGCAGAGTACACAGTGTTTATTGTATGATGAACACACAGGCATTTCTCCCTGTGGTTGTTGGTGAGACACTGTGAATCAGTGAGGCATAAAGATGTTAGTTTCTTCAGTTTAAGAGAACAAAAGTTTCCCAACTAGCTCAGACATTTGCTTTTTAATTTAATAGTAGTTGTCCCCATGTGGGAGGTACCACCCTACAGTGGACAAACAGGCTGTTGCCCCTGGCTTTAAGTCTGTGTTTGTGGAAGTGTATGAATGTGTGTAGTTTTGTTTGTTAATTAGCAGCTGAGTCAACACCTGCTGTAATTTACTGAAAAGTGGCCCTGGGAGTGTGTTTGCCTTTGACACCGCCTGCTCAACCGGTTCAGGCTGGCCACTGCCTCCTTGGTGTCATCGATTAGTCCAGACAGTTTATTCATCAAGGTGTCATTGGTGGAAGTGGACCAGTGTTTTTGTCCTTATTAAAGGGTGGCTGCCTGTGGACTGCCCTGTTGTTTAATAGTGATACATTGTAGAGGATGAGGTGTCAAAGCCTGACTGTGGGCTCGGACTCTGAGCTGCTGTGGCATATGAGGTCACCCACAGTGTCGTCAGCTGTTGTGTAAATGATAAGGAAGTCAGCCAGTGAAAGCAAATTTGCCAGTTTGAATCCCCAGACTGTCTTTAAAATCTGAATATCCAGGGGCAAAAAAAGTTGAGGTTTAAAGTTCATTTTACTTTCAGCAATGTACAAATGAAGTACCCAACTGCTCCTGCATGTGATGTTAGCTGATAAAAGCCTGAGGTTGCGCTGTGGGGTTTCATGTCTTGTGAAGCAGGCCAGTGGTTTTCAGGGTCAGAATCAGTGCATATTCTTGTCACATGGAGCTTAACGGATTCCTATCAACACCTTGGTGTCAGTTGACCAATCAGAAACTGTGTTCATAATAACTGAGCATCCTGGATTTAATATGTGACACCACATGACTGTGCTCTAGTCTCACAGTCTCTGGCCTGTGGATTGGGGGTGATTGTGTAGCTGCAACTATTGTTAATAAAGTATCAACAAATTTAAAATTGACCTGTACTTTCAATTTTTTCACTTTTTATGGAAAGGAATATGAAGTATAACGGTAATGAATACTGTGTATATGTTACCCTGTGATCCACATGAAGTAATGTACAGAGTTACATAAGTTTGGCAGAGTGGTCAAATCACTAATGGGACTAAGCAAAACCTTAGCATCCAAGCTGGTCAGTGGACTGTAAGGCCACTGGAATCGAAGTGATATCAGATAATGCACTAATTACATTACAGTACTGATGAGCAAACTTTAAGGACATGTATATTGATTTCTTAGCAAAAAGTAATTTTGATTACAGACTTGCTTAAAATATGTTTCAGTTCTTCACTGTACATTTCGAAAAAAGTCTGAGGTCCAATATTAAATGACTCCTCAAGGAAGATCAGGTAGTTACAGTGCCTTTTCAAAGGTTGAGCCTAAGGTCTTAAAGCTGTCCCTGCAATTAACCTTAACACGACCCTTGCCACTTGGCTGCACCCTAACCCCCGGGTTTATACCTAACACTGACTGAAGTGTAGTACTTGACATCTAAATCACCCCTAGGAATTATTTGACTTGCATCCCTCACCACGATCACATTAGTTTGTGCTCATTATTCTGCAGTTAGCTTTGCTGAAATCTCAAAGCATCAGCCACCACCACCGCTGATGAGCTGCAGTGCTGATTTGAAATATTGCACTAATTGGTGTCATAACAACCTACCGACCTTTAACTCATTAATTGCCCTAGAAGTAGAATTAAGTCTGCAAGCATAAAGCCTATGGCTGCACGTAGGAGTTAGCTTGCTGATTCTGCAGTTTTTTATAATTGTTTTCTATTTTAAGAGTTTGTGTGTTTATGTCTGTGCACTATTTCTAGACAGTTTATTTAATCTCTTATGAATGTAAAACAGACCGATGTATTTCTGACTGTGGTAATTTGTGTTTTCTTTTTATTAGAAATTATTCACAGGGGATTGAGCATTTAGGCGTTGAGTGGAATAGTCATACCAGTGATTATTGCTGCTATATTTGATTACACAAATGAGAAACATTCACAAACAGAGGAAGTAAATTATATTAAATTACTCCAACTGAGGCTTTTGTGTGCACTGCCAAATGAATGATCAGAAAACCATGCAGATGTTATTTAGTCAGCATAAGATTGAATTTCATCTTTGT